CTCTTAATGAGACCTGAGGTTTGGTGCTATGGCTAGTTTTGTCAGTCAGCTTGCTCTGCAGATGCCCTGTGTCCCCACTCCAGGGCTGAAATTCTCACTGAGCCATCACACCTTGCTGGCATGCATGTGATGTGATGGTTTTTAACTGGCAATTTTACACCACCTAGAATTACCTGAAAAGTCATCTCAATGACGGATTGTCTGTCTTGGTTTGGCCTGCTGTAGTATGTCTCTGGGTGACTGCTTTAATTTAGTTAATGGATGTGGGATGACCCAGCCCGGTGTGGGGGACACCATTCCCTAGGCAGGGAGTCCTGAACTATAGAACAGTGGATAAATCAAGCTGAATACAAGCAAGCAAGTGAGCACGCATGCATTCCCTTATTTCTGCTCTTGGCTGCATGCGATGTGAGAAGCTGAAGTGTCAGCATTGACTTTCCTACAATCACGGGCTGTCACCTGGAGTTTTGAGCCGCAATAAATCTCTTTACCCCTCAGTTACTCTTCTCTGAGTGTTTTATCTCAGGCACCGAATGGGAATAGCATAGGAGGGTCTGGAGACTCTGACTCTGCTCCTCTGATTTGTGCTGCAAGCCCTTTAATCACTCAGCTGTTCCCCCAGCTCCTTCTCTCCATTTCTCTTGAGACCCAGGGAGGTTTCTGTTTTCCTAAGTAAGGCCAGGGCTGGAACCTGGCTCTTGGACTCTTCTGTCATGGAAAGGGTTTTTTTTTTCCTCAGCATCTGGTGGGTGAATCTGTGTGGTCTGGCCCTTACCAGGGAGATGGTGACGAATGAACTTTATGAGGAGATTGCCAAGATCTGACAGGCCCACCAGCCATCTGCTCTCCACCCGCATCTCTGCATCCCAACTAGGTGAGGGAGGGGCTCACGGCCTCTTGAACTAGGCATTATCTGTAGGTTGATCACCGTGGGTGAGTTTGAGTGGAACATTTACGCAGTGTCTGCGGAAGATGAAAATAGCCCTCCTTAGAGCGTTTGTCACTTTGGTGTTCACACTCCGCAAAGCCCCAAGATATTTCCCTCAAAACATCAGCTGCTGCTCTCCCACCACGCAAACACAAAGCTTCCATGCCAGGCCCATATTCCCATTAAGGGCCTGCTGTGCACTGATCTTGGCTCCATGCAGACTCAGTGACGTCTGGGACGACAGCGCTTGATCTAGCTAAGGTGCAGGTACAACCCAAGACAGGCATCACCTGCCGATTCACTGCTCTTCGGTCCTGAGCCAAGCACTTCTGCTGTCTGGTCAAAGTATGTGTTCTTCACACAGTCATGCCCTCATAGAGGATATCAGCCTTCCCAGGCAAAGTCAAGGGCTTGGGGCCCTCGGCTAGAATACTCCTGTTGTAGGGGCTCACAGCCTAACATACTATGTTAATGGAGATGACAGGAGTGAGTATTTGGAAGCAAGGAGAAAATATAGCTCTTCCCTGACAAGTACTACAGAAGGAGGCGAGAGCCTAACCAGTGAGCCGTCATCACAACGGGGCTGCTGTAAGACAGAATGATCTTCCCCCTTTCCTCCTTCCTTTCTTCTCCTAGCCTTCCCATCTCTGCTACAATGTACTGGGGATCGATCTCCTTGTGTGTTGGGGATTCGGTGCTAAGTTCTCATCCTGGAAAAAAGGAAAGGAGAAAGGCAGGCAGGCAAGGAGGGAGGGAGGGAGGGAGGGAGGGAGGGAGGGAGGGAGGGAGGGAAAGAGGGGGGGAAGGGAATCAACTCGTCTGACTCTGTGCCTTTGTTCCATGTCTTATCTACTTTTGCTGCCTACACCATCCTCTGGCCAATTCTTATGGAGATGCTGGCACGATCGTGTGTCCTCTCCAGGGAAAACTGCAAGTCTAAAGGTATCTTAAAGAAAAGACACTGCCGGAGCTGGAGTAAGAAGCAATAGTTCATAGGTCCTTTGGTGTGGGCTTTGCTACGGTCTCTGGTTCTACCTGAACCTGAGATGGGCCATATCAGGCCACCTCCAATGGCTGCTGGGTGCTCTCTGACAAGTTTTCCCCACAGCCAGTGTCCCCCAGGGCTCTGGTGAGGCAGTTTTGCTTATTTGTGAGGGACCAATGTAGCAGGAATGCATCCTATGGTTGCCCTTTGGCACAGGAGCCGAGCTTCAGCAGGCTGGAGTCTCTCAGTGTGCCTCCGAGACTGTGACATTTATAGGCCAGGGAAAGGGAGCTTCATGTGGAGATGAAGGAAGGGGTCTGTCATGTTGTGACAAGGGTTCCTTGTCCTGCAGACAGATTCTGCCCTTCTGGATTCTGGGCAGGTGTCACATTGAGAGCCCCAGATTTGTGACACTTACAGGTGTGGAATCAAGCACCTGACAGTTGAAAGAGTTCTTAGGGGAGTTAGAGGCATTTTCTCCCCGGGCCAGCCTTTTGAAGCACATTTTGCTCATTCTGTCCTTTCAGATGGAGAAACATGGAAGGGTTAATGCGTCACTGCCTAGGCGTGGGGTGGGGAAGATGACGCTGGCAATGAGGAAGAAACTGAGGTTAAGCTCCACTCAGCTAATCTGAGACTTGTGCTCACTGTAGACCTGTTCCTGTGTCTGAGTTTTCGTGAGGAGAGAGAGAGGCCATACTTCAAACTTAATGAGAGGAGTACGCACCTGATTTCTAAGAACTATCCTGAGCAAATTACATTACACAGAATCTGCAGGGGTGTGTGTGTGTGTGTGTGTGTGTGTGTGTGTGTGTGTGTGTGTGTAGTCAAATAGATAGTTGAAGCACAGAGATCACTGGGCAGTCTAGCCAAATTGGTGAATCGGGGTTGCGAGATCCTGTCTCCAAAACTAAATTGGAGAACATCAAGGAAGATGTTAGACCTCTGGATTCCACACTCACATGTGCATCCCCACACACGTACAATTGTGTACACACATATACACTCATATACCTACACTCGAAACACACAGCAGACATAATGCAGAAAATGCTAATTACTCTGGGAAGAATGTAAGACCTGAGCACATTGCTAGGAATGCTAGATCAGTTGATTTCCTCTCTGATGGAAAGGGCTCAAGCTCTTGCAGAAGAAAGCTTTCTGCACAGGGAGGAAAGGTTAGCTGCATAAAAATATCGCCCAATTTACAATCACAAGGGGTCCTTGCCTGTGGGAGCAGTAATGCTAAGATGGAAATCTCACCTCGAACAGCCGTGTTATCCTGGAGTCGAGAGAGCTAAAGCAAAGTCAGATTTGGAAGACAGGTTACTGATAAAATAAGCAATCCTGTAGTCTTCATTGTGTCCAAGCATCTTGGTAGTCATGGCAACATCCTGAGATGCAATGCTGACAGCCCAGAAGATGGCTAATAATTTCATCTTAATAATCGCAGTCCATGTGAGATGCCTAGCTTCTTGATGAGTGTCATCTATCACATGGCTGTGTGGGAGGTCAGAGTAATGAAGTGAGTGGACCAAAATAATCTCAATGATGTGTACTCCTGTGTGGCCCATAGGTAAATGACAGGCCACCGCAAATTTCATTGACTTTCAACTGTGGTCACCATAACTCCACCTCTGGCTTATGGTAACAGGCCCTTAGCAGGCCTTCTTTGAGTACAGTTTGCTGTAGGATGTTCTACATTCCAGTCACTATCATCATGCTAATCTGCTGCCCAAAAGTCTTGAGTAGCTGTTTCCTACTTTGTTAGGACTAAACTTCCCTGCCTCAGGCTCCCCTCCAATTTTTCTCAGCCACACACACCAATATCTAGTTCCACTCCTTCTCTATGTACAGTCTCTTTCTCATGGGGGTTCGGCTTCTCCCTACTTGTGATCTTTGCATGCTGCATGTATTTACTTGCTACCTTTCCTCACAGGACACTTCTTCACTCCTTCCTCTTCGGTCTTTTTAAAGCCTGTGATTGTCCCACTCCAATGTGTCACTCCACGACTTGTCTGGTTCAGGGCACTTGCTTAATCCTCTCAAGTATGACCACAAGCTCTACAGATATTGTCATGTCCAGGAGTGTAGTCTTTTCCTTAAAGTAAGAGCGACCTCTAGATAGTTCCTGTATCCTTCAGAGAGCTGTCCACTCCATGGTTTCTCAGCCATGCTTCCCCAAGTATTACTTTCTTTGATATATATATTCTCCAAAATATATATTTGATAGCATCATCGTCACCTGGTATAATTCAATATTATTTAATCTCTATAATGAGAATGTGAGCTCCATGAACCAAATGTTTCATCTGTCCTGTCATATTTGGTATACACAAGAAAGTCTTGTATGTAGTATGTCCTTACTTATTTTTTAATGAATTACTGAGTGAGTTCTTCCTAACTGGACAATTCATAACCCAAATGATGCAACAAATGGAGAGGGACCATGCATCTGTTAGCCACAGTTTCTAAAATTGGATCTTTGTATGGCTCTTTTCCCAGCCACCATCGAGGGGAAAGCATGGCTGAGGACCAAAAGTGATCTGTTTTGTAGGAACAGTGCATATTCATGTCAGAAAAGTCCTCTAACCACGGCTGGGCTAAAACAGCCTGGACTGCTGAGGGGTGTCTCTGTAAGGAATCTCCTGGAATGGTTCTCAGTTGTAGAAAGTAAATGGCCTGGCAGCATCAGAAGGCATTCTAGAAGAGTTCTAATGGCTTACACATCTGAGTGGAAGGTGGTTGTCAGTGGTGGCTTGGGGGTGGGCACACTGCTGTGTAGCAGTGTGACATGCTTACTAAATGGAATTATAGTTTATTGAGTAGCAAAGAACAGCACCCAGCTGCCTGGGAATTACATTGACAGGATGCAAAGGCAAGAGAATATTGTATAAACCTTATTTACAGATCAATAGATAATCTTTCATACATAAAAGGTCAGCTCCAGGAGGGCAAAGCAGAAAAAAACTATTGCCTGCAAATAAAACATTGACTTAAAAAATCCATTCAGATGAATCCTTTGGTGCATATTCTTCTGGTTTAAGAACATTTCTTTATTTATAAGCTTTTTCTTAACTACTTCAGGTTCCTCTGTGAAGCATGAAGGCATTGATGAGGAGTGCTGATTTCTAGTTGTCCTGAATCCTGCGCTATCAAGTGAATAGCATGAAATGGAATCAACGCGGAGAGCTTCGGAAAAACATTTCTAAGCGTGTGTGTATGCAGCAATTAGGATGCTCCAGTCAAATGGGGCCTCATCCCCGCCCCCTGGTAATTTCCTGCTCTTGGTTGCGCCGATGCTAAATATTTATCCTGGCTTACTAAAGCAAGAACCAAAACGACAAAAACAACGTTAGAAACACACCACCCGCAGCTCATCACTACTGAATTTCTTCATCCACTTTGTGCCTTTCCTGTCTCCTGAAACAAGTTTTCATCATCCCAGAGGACATGTGAACTTCTTGTCTCTGTCTCTATCTGTCTCTATAAACCTGTATGGATGGCTGCGACTGTGAGAGGAATAAGTATGGGGGAGGTGTTCAAGGTTCTAACCCGTGTCCTCCTCCTGCTTATAACATCAAGTCCTAATCCTCCTGCAACTGGGTCCGGAGAGAAAATGTTTAGGAGACAATTATGCGTTAGTAAGGTGATAAAAGTGGGACCCTGAACCTACTGGGTTAGTCTCTGTCAGAAGCAACACCAGAGGCTGACTCTTGCTCATTCTTGCTTTGTTGAGTGCATGCCCACTCTCTCTGTCACTCGAGGATGAGCAGAAAGAGGCCATCTGCAAGCCAGGAAGAGACTTGGTACAGCAGCATAGTCTTCCAGGCTCTTGATTTTGGACTTCCCAGCCTCCATCTTTAAAATAAACTTCTCTTTGTTTAAACCGCCCTATCTCATAGAGTTTGCTGTGGTCACCAGATCTGACTAACGCAGAATGGGAGCTTAATCGGACATTGTTTCCCCGATGGAACATTTCAGATGAGAAGATCACTGTGCATTTTGTGTGCTCTGTCTTCGTGGCCTGGAAAATATGTCAAAAGAGCAGCAGCCTGAGCCATGAACAGGTGTATTGCTGGCTGAAGTGCTGTTGGAGGGCAGAGTTGTTTAAACCTCCAGGGAGTATCATCTGCTGCATGCAGAAGTGGTATGCACATCTGGGGAAGGCTTAGTTTTGCCAGAAGTCAAAAGGCTTAAGATATACAATTCCTATTCTCAGTCTCCTTATGGGGGAAGTGCAGGACTCCAGATGTGAGGAGATTTGGGACAGTGTAGAATTATGTCATTACTATGAACTAGGTATTTTCCCCTAACTTATTTTGAAACCCTAAACCACAGTATGATATCATAAAAGCAGGTGTAGACATGGGATTTTCTCTTCTTTCTTTAAGTATATACTCCTAAGAGGTCACATGAAGACACAATTGGAAGATAACTGTCTACATACCAGGAAGAGGACCTTCTCCAAGAACTCAACAGGGAGTACCTGATGTTAGATTTCTCGTCTCCAGACAACTGAGAAATATTGACTTGTGATTTCAGCTACCCAGCCTAAGGTATTCTGTTGTAGCAGTGTGAGCTGATCAAGAAAATAACATTTTGCTCTAGCAAAAGAGGAGCTTTTGACAATAATGAAATCTCTCCCAGTTTCTCACCATTTTCTTTTCTCAGAAAGCAGGTTTAAAATACACTGAGGAATAATCTCCCTAAACACAATGTGACTGGAACCAGCATCTCTCTGTCAAAATCTTAGCCACAGGAATCAGGTAGGATCAATATAGAACCCATTTGAGCATAGGGATTTGAGCAAATTCCCAGACTGTGTGTCCATGAAGCCAACCTTTTCCTGATCCTGATTGAAGAGGACTGCTCATCTCAGTGTGAGAAAGGGCACAAAGAGAAGGCTGGATTTGATGAAAACAGATACAGGTTTCATCTTCCTCCAAGGTCAAAGGCAGAACTTTGTCTTTTCTGTTTTACTGAAGGTCCCCTCACTCCATTCTTTTGCTGTACAGTGAATTCCATATCTACATTCTCCAAGTTCCTCCTTTGTTGAGGGTCCCCAACAAGACGAATGAATGGGGCTGGCCATGATGTGTGGGCCAAGACCAGTCCAATTCTAGTTTTGTTTTTTGTGATACTTAGGATCAATCCAAGACCTAACACAAGTTAGGCGAGCACTCTACAACTGAGCTACATTCCTAACCCTAGAGTCAAATTCCGGATGGGATGATCCTCTCAGGCCTCATTTATTTGCTATGCTGTGTTCTTTTTGGACAGGCTATTACGTTAAAAAGCCATGAAATGTGTGCATGAAGCTTTCTTCATGAGTCTATCCTCTGCAGTAGAACTTGGACTAGGGGTAGTTTGCCAATGGATCTATCCCAGGAACTCCTTTCCATCTTCTAGAATGCCTTTGTTCTGTTATAGAAGAGTCTATGACCCCATATTCTGCTCAGATATCTTCTAAAAGGAAGAAGGAGGAAGAAGAAAGAATGAAGGCAAACAGCTTCGTAACTATGTGCTGTGTGCCCATGAAACTGCCCTGCCTGTGACACGAACTCAGAAGTAACTAACCTTATTTTTTCTCTAGAACATCCTGGGACTCTTGTTATAGACAAGGCATGGAAGATTAGATGGACTCTCATTTGCTGAATCTTATTACTTAGTTCCCACTCAGAGAGCTGAGGTCCACAAATGGCTCAGTACCTCTTATCATACTTACTAACTCTAGTTAGTATGGACCAAAATTTAGGGCCAGAGAATGATCTTACTAACAACTAATATTGATTGAATGTCTACAATGATAGGTGATATGGGGCCAAGGTTCCTCCTCTGCTCTCTGCTCCTCTAAGGTCTGACTCAGAACTGACACCCACCCCCCTTACACTTTCTTTTGTGGGAAAGCCCCTTAGAAAATTGCCCAACCCTGTCCCAGGGACTTGAGATCAAGCTGACTCAGCTAACCACTGCTTTATGCTTCTGTTAAACTGCTTGCTTGCTCCCCTTCCCCTGAAATTGCCAACAAGGATATGGCTTTTGTCTTCAAAAGCTGCCAGCAGAAAGCAGTGAGGGTGCTCCATGACAACTGTTTCTTTCCAGTCAGTTGCCGGCTGGCCTTAGAAAGACTCTCAGATTCACTCTGGTTTTGTTGAGTGGTTCTTGGGGTTTTTACCCCATGATAATAGGAACAATGAAAAACTTCTGATATACTTTGGATTGATGGTCTCAAGCCTATTTTCCTTTTCTGTGTCCACACCCCCTATATCATGACTACAGCTTCCACTGTCAAGGAGTAACACCTATTTCTCTACCTCTTGAATTCCAGCTGGTTCTTTGAACTTCTTTGTCTTAATCAAATGCTCCAGAAGAGACAATGTGATATTCAGGATGTATGATGAGGAAGCTTATACTCTTCAGATTGTCTCTCTTGGAACTCTGGGATCTCAGCGAAAATAAGCCTACACTAGCATGGTGGAGGTGATCATTACAGGAGAGCTGAGTCGTTCCAACTGGGACCATGAGAATGCCCCACCCCAGATGACTTGCTGACTAGCTAGAGATGCATCAGTAGGCTTAGCTGATGTCAGGCAAACCAAGTCGTGGTCAGCATATTGATTTGGCCGAACAACTGAGACAGGTAAAACAATGATAGATGGTTTTTTCTTTAAGCCTCTGTGCAGCGTCATTACATTAATAACCTACGTACATTATTATTTCCATTCTCTTGATGAGGAAACAAGCTGAGAGGTTAAGTCCTTGTCTCTGATAAACAGCTAGTGAATGGACTCAGAAAGCTGAACTCCGGAGTCTAGATTCTTGTCTGCTACTTTGTAAGATCTCATCATAACACTCAAGTATCTGTCAGCCCTTGGCTAATGTAAAGTCATTTGACTGTAGGAAACTGTTTCTGCTGGTGTGGACAGGTCATAGGATGGAGTTCAGACATCAGAAATCTTTCTGCTGATAAAATGCCATGACAGCTATTGACTAAAACATACAAAATAAAACACTGCAATCTATCTGAGAAAAAATACTTAAGCGCAAAACAAGTGAGACAAACAATATCTTTGAAATCAAGGTTGCAAAATGCAAGATAGCAGAAAGTTTGATTGAATCTCATTAATCCCAAGTTATGACCTCGTTCTGTAAGAGGTCTGCATGACAATCCTGTAAATGCGAAAGACATCCTTCACTTGAAAATGAAAACAAAATGCAATTATGTTAGTGGAAGAATTTCCTCATTAAAGAAAACTAAACTCACTACCATCTGTCTCTCCACCTTTGCTTTGGTAACCCTTGCCCATCCTTGATGAAAAAGTGATTATTCCCACAGTAGCAACTGGAGATTTGACTAAAATAAGAATGCACAATTTAATAACAGAAGGAATGCCATAATGTATGAGCTCTTACAGATATCGTAGATTGGGAAGGTTCTGGAAGGCCTCGGGATTGATGTACAGCAGAGAGTTGGCCTTTTCAATTCTACTGTAAAAGAGGGAGGTACGTGTAAGTGACTTGAACAGCAAAGAGTGTCATGGTATTTTTCATGTCACGCAGAGCACATCAGTAAATAATAAGTCATCCATCCATCTATCTGTCTATCCATTTATCCCTATCGAGCTATAATTTCAGCAAACATTGAGCAAGCATACAGGACCCTTTATTGTATAAATCTGTGTAAACTGAGTACCAACCCTGTCCATTTAACACTCATCGCTTGGTACCCGTCCTCCAGTCCGTTTTTATCCACTAGGAGAGCTGAGGATTTTACTAGTAAGAATCTCCCGGAACCGGGGTAAACTAAGAAGGGACAGGCGACACTAACATGGGGGAACTGAACTAGTGAAAGGTATGAAGACAAGAGGAGGACACTCAGACCAGCCGGAAATGGTGAAAAGAAGAGGGGCCGGAAAGGGATACGGGTGAGGTAGCAAAAAGACTAAAGAAACAGAAATGAATTGGCAAAGAGAAAACCAAAATCTGGGAGAAAAGCCACTACTGTCTCTGATTTAAAGCATCAAGTCCCAGCCCCTGGCAGGAGGTCCCTCCCCTCCCCCCTCAAGCCCCGTTCTGCTGACGGAAGTGGCTCCTCACAGCAGATGGGGAATGATGACTTCTGCCCAGTGGTTTTAGCCTGTGCTGTGTCCTGATCAATAGTCTGGAAGTGAGAAGGTTCACATTCGGATTCCCGCAGAGAACCTGTCTTCTTTCTCATCTTGCTGGATCAATGTATATTTGTAGAGATACTCTTGTTAATTACTTCCTTCCTGTTTCATTAGCTTTCATGTTGCAGTAACCTGTAGCTAACCAGAGCCAAGTACCAGGAAATTAATCATTTTAAACACAGCCAGTGTTGCATGAGGGTGAGTGCCTCCCCATGCAAGAAAGAGGTGCAAGAACTGTTTCATTAGCCCCACTGCCCACTGCACGGCACCAAGGCGTGCTTTACACTGGGCCTTCGGGTCATTTCTCTGATATTCTTTGTGGACCTTGAGGCCCTATCAGGTCTCTTTCTCTAACTAGGGCAAGATGAGGGCAGGTGGAGAGAGAATAAAGGAACAAGACAGTCATAAAAATGAGGAGGAATGAGGTGGGAGGCAGAACGGGTTGACAAAATGTGCAGGCTGTTCTTTCTTTCTTTCTTTTTAATTAAGACATTTTTTATTCATTTTACATACCAACCACAGATCCCCCTCTTCCCTCCTCCCACCCTGCATTCCCTCCTACAAGAAGGTAAGGCCTCCCATGGGGAGTCAGCAGAGCCTGGTACATTCAGCAGAGGCAGGTCCAAGCCCCTCCCCCTGCCTCAAGGCAGTATGAGGTGTCCCACCATAGGTAGTGGGCTCAAAAACCAGGCTGCCATTTCTAAATAAACTCCTTAATACACACACACACACACACACACACACACACACACACACACACACACACACACACACACACACACAGACTGTACAGCAATTTTTTTCTTGGAAGTTCCAAATATATCTTAGCATAAAACAACTTCTGAGTTTTTCTAGTGATAAATGAGATTTTTTCCTCTTATTTACTCAGTGTTTCCTAATCTTATTTGATCACAAAATATTTTTCTTTCTTCTTTATTTAACACCAAATAATTTCTTGGGTTCATAGTAACCAATAGAACATACTTTAAACTTTTTTGAACTGATAAAACTTGAAAGTCTCTGTGGCTTTGACATCCTCCTGTCAGTCTATGGATTATTTTCTGGTGATTAGAGACTGATAGAGAACAGATTTAGACCTATGCCTTGCACACATACACAACAAGAATGTCAACAAGAGAAAGTAAGTGTGTCTACACTAGTAGAGCAACCAAGGGTCATTACAGTGTAACTGAGTTACACTGGTTGATATGCTAGATTTAGCTGCTCTTTATCATGTTCCTCATTCATCCCAGCAACTCTGAGAGTGTGGATTTCACTCTAGCTTTGCAGACGAGAAACGGAAGTCTCAGATGGTTCTGTGTCTTGGTTGAGCATTCATGCATGTGCAGAGGCAGTTCTCAGAAAAGGCTTATCCAGCCTCAGTCACATTGAGTGGGATTTATTTGACCTTTGTGGTTGTAACACTGGATGAGGTGATGGGATGGAGGGATGGGGGAGTTTTCCCATCGTCTTAGAAAAAGGGTTCTAGAGCCTGTGACATAAAGTGACAAGAAGAAAACCAATGGAGGGAGTCAGTACTGAATGAAGCTAAACTCGAGGCTGGTGCCTGTGTCTCTAGCCAGAGACAGATGACAGTCCCTTGTAGGATGCCTCTGGTCTCTCGTCATGGTGATCTGTGGATCTGAGGGTAGAACAGAGTCAGAGCCTCCCAGGAATACAAAAGAACTTTAGGGCTCTTTCTAATAGTCATGACCCTCTTGTGTGCACGCACGCACGCACGCACGCACACACTGGCATGTTGCTTACATTTCATGCAACTTGGGTAGGTTGGAGAACACGTCTGCTTCTATTACTTCCAAAACATCATTCTGAGAGATCTCTCTGCAGCAAAAGAAAGATAATTCAGGTTAGTTCCGTTTTTCTCCATAGACCTTTAAAGGATTCATCTAGAGCCTTGTGCCTAGGAGGATTCTTAAGACCCCAAACTGCTTTCTTTTCCTCAAGTCAGCGATTGTAATAAGTCTAAACCAACACACTAGACGCTAATGTTTACGCAACAGTGGGAAAATAAATCTGAGGTAGTGGGTCGTTAGGCGATTAGATACTTCTCAGCTGTAGAAACCAAAGCCTGAAGGAGACTTTCTTAACAGTATTTAGGGAAATATACAGGATGAAATAAAACCAAGTTCCTTAGGTCAGGGGTCAGCAAACTTTCTCAGGCCCAGATAGTAACTACCTATTGGCATTGTGGATCGTTTGATCTATGTTAAAACCACTATAAGCAATGAAACTCCAAAGAAACCGTAGGAAATGAAACGTGTGCCAATGAAACTTTATTAAAAATGGGAATGAATTCCGCCAGTGGGCTGCGTTTCATTAAACCTGTTCTGGACTATGGAGCCAGGCTCTCTGTTAAACTGGCTGTGGTGTTGGAGAATGTAGATGCACATTCTTGTTCCCCATTCCCCTCTCTCCCTGATTCCCCCTTGTCATTCTTACTCTCTTCCTTAATTAAAAGTATTTTTACAGTTTTTGTTAGAATAAAATAAATGGCATTTTCAAAATGGTAGTTTGATGCATCTATATCATTAGATACACAGGATATATATGCGTATGTATCATTCTTACCTCGTTCCCACCACCCTTCACTGTCCCACCCCCTTTCTGACAGGTCCTCGTCCCCTCCCGTGAGCCCACTTTATGCTTTCATAGCACAAATGTTCCACCACCCTCCCTGTCCTTCCCTGCTGCTCCCTTTAGACATTTTCTCTCCTCTCATGGTCCCATTTGTCCTTTCATGTCCTACAACTACACACACACACACACACACACACACACACACACACAGGTACAGACACAAATTTGGTACAGCACAAATTTAACCTATACACTATGTGTGAGTGAAATCATGTGATATTTGTCTTTCTGAGTCTGGTTTACTTCCCAGCACAGTCAACTTCAGTTCTATCCATTTTCTGGTGATTTCTATAATTTCACTTCTTTTTTTTACAACTGAGTAAAATTCCACTATGTATATGTGCCACATTTTCTTTATCCATCGCTGGACTCTAGGCTGGCTCCTGATCTTGGCTGTTGTGAATACTGCATCAATAAACATGGACAATTGACTATCTCTGCTGCTTGCTGACCTAGGATCTTTTGAGTATATCCCAGGAGTGAGTGGCATCTCTGGACCATACTGTATTTCTATTTTAGTCTTTTTCCATTTTTTTTTTTTTTTGGTTTTTCGAGACAGGGTTTCTCTGTGTAGCTTTGCGCCTGTCCTGGAACTCACTTGGTAGCCCAGGCTGGCCTCGAACTCACAGAGATCCGCCTGGCTCTGCCTCCCGAGTGCTGGGATTAAAGGCGTGCGCCACCACCGCCCGGCCTTTTTCCATTTTTAACTCTTTTGAGGAAACTATATATTGATTTGCATAGTGATGGTACCAGTTTACATGATCATAGTGATGTATAAGGTTACCACATTTTCCACATCCTTGCCAGAATTAGTAAATTGTTTTTTGAGGATAGTGATTCTGACTGGGGTGAGATGGAATACTAAAGCTGTTATAATTTGAATTTCCATGGTGGTTTAAGATTTTGGATATTTAAAAATATTTATTAATCAATTGCATTTTTTCTTTAGAACTATTGTAGTTGGAGGATTTCTCCTGCCCTGCTCGGCACTGAGGTCCTGCAGCCACTTATAAAATAATCATTCAGAGGCTTAATATTAATTATCAATTTAATGGCCTATGGCAGGCTTCTTGCTAGCTAGTTCTTCCAACTTAACCCATTTCGATTAATCTATAACTTGCCACATGGTCGTAGCTTACCGGTACTTTTAAATCTTGCTTCTCCTGGCAGGGGCTGGCGTCTCCCCTGCCTCTCCTTTCTCCTTTCTCTATCTCCCTTGGATTTTCCTGCCTGGCTCCATCCTGCCCTGCCATTGGCCAAACGGCTTTGTTTATCAACCAATCACAGCAACACATATTCACAGCGTACAGAAGGACATCCCACAGCAAACTATCTGGTTGATTAGTCCACTCATTGACTGGAGGCTTCTTTTTCAGTTCTTATTTGGCTCTAGATCTAATGTAGATGGACAGGTGGCAAAGATTTTCTCCCAGTCTGCAGTCTCTCTTCACTCTAACTATTGTTTCCTTTGTGGTGACAAACTAACTAATTTTATGGCAATTCTTTTTTTTTTTTGTGGGGGAGGTCAGTTTTGTGGGTTTCTTGTGCTATTGGAGTCCTGTATCTTGATGTGTTTTACCCATGTTTTTATCTAACAGTTTCAAAGTTTCAGAGCTGACATTCAGGTCGTTATTTTTTTTAATTGAATTGGTTGTTATGCATGTTGTCATGGATCTGGTTTTATTCTTTTAATGAATTACTTTAAAAATAAGCATGGAGTAAAACCTGTCCTCTCACTGGGCGGTGGTGGCGCATGCCTTTAACCCCAGCACTCTGTGAGTTCGAGGCCAGCCTGGTCTACAGAGCAAGATCCAGGACAGGCACCAAAACAACACGGAGAAATCCTGTCTCGAAAAACCAAAAACAAAAAACCCCAAAAACCCTGACCTCTCCATGCTATTACTAAAGTGAAGCTTGTCTTTGGTATTAATGATGGCTTGGCATAAAACACTCCACGTTTCAGACCCCAGCTTTTCTCCTTCTGGAGAAGTCTGAAGGTTGTGGAAAATAAAGCCCACTATGCAGAAGCCAGAACCTGTGAGGAGACAGGGTGGTTTGATGTTTATACTGTGTCTCACAGATGAAACATGCTATTATTCGGCCTCCTGGGAAGACCCTCACACAGCTTTAATGCTCAGTTGACTGTCTCAGGAAATCTCACAGGCAGCATGCATTCAAACAGGCTGAGGTAGAAATGCTGTCCGCTTACCTGGGACTTAGATGTAGAGGTCTAAAGGTGCTGTGGAGAATGTCTGTAGGGTGGAGAGCAGAGCAGTTGGGTGAGGGGAGTGAAACAGCTATCTCAGAGAGGCATAAAGACCTCAGGGACTTGTGGATCTGGGGTGCAAGCATCATTTCTCACAAGCTGGTGGATGAGGGTTTGTGAGTGATAAGCTCTTCCTTGGCAATAGCTCAGAAGGCATGTGTGTGAACATCTAAAGGAGTTGAGTGGAAGAGCTCCGTGAAGGGAAGGACTGGATAAGGAGAATTTAAACCTAGAGAGACCCACAAGACATTTCCTCCAGCTGCATTTCCCGGTTCATGACCATTACTAGGTTTGATCAGCACTCATGCTGATATTCTGTCTAACGTCAGGACACACCTCCTTAACCAAACTCAAGTCTGGACAGTTTGATGCTGTTTAAAAAAGGAACCTTAGAAATCGTTAGCATGAACTAGCTAAGAAACAGTCCTAATTTATTTCTTTCAGTAAGTAGTTCATATGTCGTAGTGTCAACTTCAGAGATAGGTGTGGTGATATATTATGGCCCCCAAAATATTGTGCACCCTAATAAACTTATCTGGGGTCAGAGAACAGAACAGCCACTAGATATAGAGGCCAGGAAATGGTGGCACACACGCCTTTAATCCTATCACTTGGGAGGCAGAGGTCCATCCAGATCTCTGTGAGTTTAAAGCCACACTGAAAACAGCCAGGCATTGTGACACACGCCTTTAATCCCAGGAAGTGAGCCTTTAATCCCAGGAAGTGATGGCAGAAAGCAGAAAGGTATATAAGGCGTGAGGACCAGGAACAAGAGCTGGTTAAGCTTTAAGGCTTTTGAGCAGTAGTTCAGCTGAGATTCATTCTAGATGAGGACTCAGAAGCTTCCAGTCTGAGGAAACAGGATCAGCTGAGGAATTGGCCAGGTGAGGTGGCTGTGACTTGTTCTGTTTCTCTGATCATTCAGCATTCACCTGGCTCCAGGTTTATTTTCATTAAGAAGACCCTTTAAGATTCTTGCTGCAGATAGGAGTGAGTATTAGGACTGGGTGGGGGCATGTCTGTGGCCAGATGGGGCTGGGCAAAGAGGACAAGGTACAATAGCAGAAAGCATAAGAAATTCCTAGGTCTCCTTGTTTCCCCACTTCTGTCTCCAGTTATTTCTATGATCATTTATTGAGTGTTTACTGTTTATTAGACATCCTCTTCATTCCACATGACTGTGAAGTCGTCATTTTGGTTCTGTATGCAGAAACAAGTCTTGGACACTTTCTTTTGCTTCCTCAGGCTGTGATAGGTATTTCTCTGGACCTTGGGTTCCTCACTGTAAAATGAGGAGGTAGATGAGATAGTTTGCTAAGTCCTTTCCAGAGCAGTGAAGCAGGGTCACATCAGCAAGCACAACTCTGCAGAAGGTTAATTTTTGGAGGTGAGGAAGCTCAACCACTTCCCATTAAGGTCTACTTCTCCTTGTTACCATGAGCATCACCGGAACCAAATTTCCAACAATGAACCTTTAGACAATTGAGCCATATCTAAACCATAGCACTGAGCATTTGACTTCTGATTATAGCCTTTCCTCTAATTTATTTGACTGTGAGGCTTTTAGCCCCTAGTCAGAGGCCAGTATTGTTGTTGGTATTGTTATTCTGTAGACCTGTGATAACTCAGCTCAAAATGAACAGCCCCAGCATTTGGCAAATTCATATAAGATATAATGGTGGGAATGTTCACAACACTGTCATGTCCAAGGACTAACCAGACACAATCCAGCTTAGCTTCGGAGATCAGGCAAGACTGAACACACATGACCTTAGACACATTAGTATCACTCTATGACAAGTTAAATGTTCATGCTGGATCTCTAATCTAATTACATTCAAAATGCGCGGTTATTCCCTTGCATTCCCTCCAGTAAGGCTGGCAAAACAACTAAATGATTAAGAGCACTTACTGCTCT